AACCTCACTCCAGGTCACCTGAAGAGCAAGTCTCAGAATGAATTCTGCCCCAAATACTGATATTTGTTAGCAGCCAGGAAATCCTTTCAAGTGCAAGGAAATCGTCTGGGGCCACAGAGAGGTGGTGAGGATGAAAACAGAGACCTCAAGCGAAGATGAACACATCTTAGTGAGAACTGATGTAGATGGCTTTCTGCATATTTATTTATACACACCTAGTACTTCATCCCAAATCTTATTGGAGTCAGGGACTACTTATTGTGCTTTCACAATCGCATGTGACCTCCCTCCCCAACCAGCAGGGGAGAAATATGATAAAACGTGAACAGCATACAAATGAGCCTTCTGCACTGTGAAACGTGAATGACTCTGTTCTGCGAAGGTGTAGATATTGAAGGTGTGACTATGGGATGTTGTACCTCCCAAACCAAGCATTTCCCCCCAAGGTGTCCAACAGGAAGATCTATAAGGAGACGCCCTGGAGGAGACACAAAGGGAGGGGCAGGCTTCATCTGTCCAGCTGCAGGGGAAGGAGGAGTTCCTGTCCAGCTGCAGGGCAGAGTGTCTGGCATCTGCACGGTACAACACATGGAAACCAGGTGAGCATCCTGTGCTGAGGTCCGGCCAGCCATGCACCAAGAGATGCAGAACTCAGAACTCAAGAAAGAGGACCCCAACACCAGAGCCTTCCAAATTCAGGAAGATGGCAAGTGTGCGTAGAAGGGCACCTGGGACAGCAGTAGGTTGGTTATAAGGCTGCAGCCACTAGAGTGAGATTTGGGAAGAGCAGAGGACTCCAGCTCTGAGCAGAAACTGAGGACAACAGGAGCAATAAGAGCGGATTCTGGAGGGACTGAGCCTGTGACAGGTAGAGGTTAGGGACAGAGAGTGAGAGAAAATCCCAGTTACTGGAAACCACGTCAGGTCAGGGCACACTGGCCATTCCTGAGGCTTAGGCCTGGCATGTTGAGCTAAATCTCTTTAAAGGCTCCTTCCTAAGGTCAGGGCTAATGCCAGAAACAAAAGGTTTTTATTTTTTATTTTTTATTGATTTCAGAGAGGAAGGGAGAGGGAGAGAGAAATAGAAACATCAATGATGAGAGAGAATCATTGATCAGCTGCCTCCTGCACACCCCACACTGGGGATCGAGCCCGAAGCCCAGGCATGTGCCCAGACCAAGAATCGAACTGTGACCTCCTGGTTTGTAGGTTGATGCTCAACCATTAGCCACGCTGGCCAGGCAGGAGTGTTTTAATGAGGAGGCATGCAGCTGCAAGTAACCAGAAGCTGAACTAAAAGTGGCTTTAACAAGGAAATCATTGACTCACAAATGAAAAGACAGTAGAACCGGCCTACAGCTGACCAATACAGTGGCTCCAACTTCACTTTTTGCTGACATTTTTTTTACTCTGCCTGTCATGGGACGGTGGCTTCATCTGCAGGCTTCATCCTGCCATGCTGGCCTTGGGTGTGGACAGGGTGACATTGCAGGGTCGGCTCCCTTTGGGGCTATGAACCATGTGGGCAGGGTAGACACCTGCACAAAATCATTCTTCTGTTAGGAAGAAGGAAGGGAGCGATACCAAGGGCAGGATGAAGTGCCGG